AGATCAGTAGAGGTCCGATGGACCAATACTATTAGAGAGTATGGAAGTTCGTCCAGGACTGATTGTAGGCTGTGCATCTCTAACATGAAGCTGGGGAAGCTCGATACGAACTGTAGTGAAGAACAAAAAAATGAGCACATCGACCTTGCACATTACCTCAGTAAACAATTAGTTGATTTATTGATTTAGGAGATATACTCACAATAGTAGTAATAAAACAGGCATGTATAATCCAAAACCGAATCATACAATAAGGAGACACATGCGAATCCCATCCGAAGGGGAGACTCTCAGAGTGCCGCTGATGCGTTTAGAAGAGGGGGGTCCCTTCTTCATCAGAGCTAGCCAGACTGAGAGCACCTTCCTCTTTATATAGTCAGTATCAATGTGTGAGCCCTCCCAAAAAGGGAGGGACCAGCACATCCTAGGAGGTGGGGCCAACGTGTCACAAAAGATAAAACTATGTATATAACATAGAAATATATGTAAATAAAACATTCAAATGTCAATATATAGATACAATTGTAGATATAGAACTACCAATGGAAACATGCTAAAAATATGACACAGTTTTATAGTATACTAATATTCATTCAAACGTGACTAAAATTGTGTGTACATATTAAATAAAAATGAGTATATGAAAGGTGAACATCAAAGGGTTATGTCCAGTCCATAGATGCCATCAAAAATCGCATACAATGACCTGAATAAAATATTGTATTAAATTAGAATTACCTTAGAGTTGTACAAGGCACGGGACCACATATATAGTGGTTTGTATTAATTTCTATTTCAACCATGTAAAAGCAGCTCTCAGCAGTGACAATTTGGAGCTTTCAACTATTTTACATCAGTCAGCAAGTATCTGGAAGCCATTCTGACACAGTGGGGTATATTTACTAAAGCTGGAGAGTGCAAAATCAGGCTCACTTCTGAATAGAATAGAAACCAATCAACTTCTAACCTCAGCTTGCTCAATTAAACTTTGGCAATAAAACCTGGACGCTGATAGGTTTCTATGTAGAAGTCAGCCTGATTTCACACTCTCCAGCTTTAGTAAATAAACCCCAGTGTGTTAATCCATGTGTCAGATTTGCAAAATGGCAGTGGAGAGGGGAATTAAAATTGCAGAGTTAGTTCAGGTGGCGGTGGAACGCACGCCGGCATCCAAGACCCTACTGCGCATGCGCGATGCGTTCCAACCGCCATTTTGGCACAGAAATTGTTACAGGAGGAACGTTCAGCATCCGCGCATGCGCACTAAACTCCGGTCATCGTAGCAACGTTATGTGAGAGAGGGAGGGGAGAGAGGGAGGGGGGGAGAGAGGGAGTTGTGGCTGAGCACAGCCACAGACTGTTTAGGAGCCTACTCACATTGGACCGCGGAACATAGAGATGCAAGTCTCTGTTCGATCCTCTACATAAGAAGGGAAGAAAATAAAAGAAAAATATTAATGATAATAATACTACTGTACAGGAATTGGGGACTTTAGCCCATCTTGGATAAAAAGGGTTATACTGGGCAAACGAAGCAAAAAGAGGGGACATAAATTAATTGATCAGTAAGTAGTGAGTGCTGCCTGTAAATAGATAGATACATACATGAATGCATTAATAAATATATATATACATAAAATTAGTGGCTTAAAAATCAGTACATTTAGAATCAATCACGATTGCCAGAAACAGATAAATTAATACATTGAAATAACGGATGAATAAAAATTAAACTGAATTACAATAATAATTATTGAAATTAAAAAATTGAAATAGAAATAAATATAAAATGTAAAATTTGAATCGGAAAATTATTGCAGACATTGAAAATATAAACCAATACATATATTACACACACACACACACACATATATATATATATATATATATATATATATATATATATATATATATATATATATGTATATATAATATCTCGAGCATCCTTAAGATGATGGATAAAAATTAATTTAATCTAAAAATTAAATAGACTATACCAAGGTGTGTGTTTCTAAATCATCATTCAACCCTTAGGGGATAGGGTATCTAATGTAAAGATCCAAAAAATCTCTCTCCTGCAAAGTCTTTGGTATCTCCTGACATTATCCAGATCTTTTGGTATAGCCTCTACACCAAAGACTCTGATTCCACAGTAATTACTCTGGTGGACTTCTTTGAAGTGACGAGGGACTGAATAGTTATCTTTGCAATTCATAATATTTACTTTTTTGCTCGCTGATGCGAACTCTCAGGGGGCGAGAAGTGTGGCCTATATACAGTTAGCCACATGGGCACATATATATATATATATATATATATATATATATATATATTTATTTATTATTATATGTATTAGTTTATATTTTCAATGTCTGCAATAATTTTCCAATTCAATTTTAAAATTTTATATTTATATTTCAATAATTATTATTTTAATTAATTTTCATTTTTATTGATCATTTATTTCAATGTATTCATTTATCTCTGTTTCTGGCAATTGTCAGGGCTCTGTCCTATGCAGAGGTGTTAGAGGCCTCGCACCCCTGCCAGTACCTTGCATGGCTGCAGAAGTTCACATCAGCTCAAATTTGGCGCCAAACGGCCTTTATAAGGAAGCCCTGCCCTACTCTCAGGTGCTGGTTGATCTCTGGCTCCCTAGTACCTTCGTTCCCTTGCTATCCTGACTTGTGATTTCCTGTTAATGACTCGCCTTGCTCCTGGACCTGTCTGCTCTGTTTAACCCCGACCTGACCTGGCTTGTCTAACGGATCTTCTCTCCTGCTCTGTGTATGACCTCGGCTATCCCTTTTGACTACATCTGCTCCGATCCCCACCTGGCATCCGACCTTGGCTTGAACTGGTTATCCTGTGATCCTCTGTTCTCTAGAAGGCCTGCATACCTCGCACAGGTGCCCCTGCCTGCAGACCCCATCTCAGCACATCAGCTGTGCTCCTGGATGGACCACCAAACAAGCACTCCCACAGGCAACCTGTGCTACTCTGGGCCTGACTCCTGCTGTCCCACCTTCAGGGGAGTCTGGAACTAGCCGCAAGGGAAGTCATCTCTCCATTGGCCACTGTCACCAGGTACGTGATACAATCGTAACTGATTCTAAGTGTATGAATTTTTAAGCCACTAATTTTATATATATATATTTATTAATCCATTCATGTATGTATCTATCAATTTACAGGCAGCACTCACTATTTACTGATCTATTAATTTATGTCCCCTCTTTTTGCTTCATTTGCCCAGTATTAACACTTTTTATCCAAGATGGGCTAAAGTCCCCAATTCCTGTACAGTAGTAGTATTATTATTATTTTTATTTTATTTTCTTCCCCCCTTATGTAGAGGATCAAACAGAGACTTACATCTCTGTGTTCCCCGGTCCAATGTGAGTCGACTCCTAAACAGTCTGTGGCTGTGCTCAGACGCAACTCCCTCTCTCTCCCCCTCCCTGTCTCTCCTCTTTCCTCTCTCCCCTTGGTCTCTCACATAACGTCACTATGATGACTGGAGTTTATCATAGTGCACAGATGCAGGCCGTTCCTCCTGTGACAATCTCTGTGCCAAAATGGCAGCTGGAACGCAACGCGCATGCACAGTAGGGTCTCGGATGCCGGCGTGCTTTCCACCGCCACGTGAACTAACTGCAGTTTTAATTCCCCTCTCCACTGCCATTTTGCAAATCTGACACATGGATTAACACACTGGGGTTTATTTACTAAAGCTGGAGAGTCCAAAATCAGACTCCCTTCTGCATAGAAACCAATCAGCTTCTAACCTCAGCTTGTTCAATGAAGCTTTGGCAATGAAACCTGAAAGCTGATTGGTTTCTATGCAGAAGGGAGTCTGATTTTGGACTCTCCAGCTTTAGTAAATAAACCCCACTGTGTCAGAATGGCTTCCAGATACTTGCAGACTGATGTAAAATAGTTAAAAACTCCAAATTGTCACTGCTGAGAGCTGCTTTTACATGGTTCAAATAGAAATTAATACAAACCACTATGGATGTGGTCCCATGCCTTGTACAACTCTAAGGTAATTCTAATTTAATACAATATTTTATTCAGGTAATTTTATCCGATTTTTGATGGCATCTATGGACTGGACATAACCCTTTGATGTGCACCTTTCATATACTCCTTTTTATTTATTTAATATGTACACACAATTTAGTAACATTTGAATGAATATTAGTATACTATAAAAACTGTGTCATATTTTTAGCATGTTTTCATTGGTAGTTCTATATCTACAATTGTATCTATATATTGATATTTCGATGTTTTATTTACATATATTTCTATGTTATATACATATTTTTATCTTTTGTGACATGTTGGCCCCACATCCTAGGATCTGCTGGTCCCTCCCTTTTTGGGAGGGCTCACACATTGATACTGACTATATAAAGAGGAAGGTGCTCTCAGTCTGGTTAGCTCTGATAAAGAAGGGACCCCCCCCTACAAAACACATCAGTGTCACTCTGTGAGTCTCCCCTTCCGAAGGGATTCGCATGTGTCTCCTTATCATATAATTTGGTTTTGGATTATACATGCCTGTTTTATTAATACTTTTGTGAGTATATCTCCTAAATCAATAAATCAACTAATTGCTTCAGTAAGCAAGGTCGGTGCGCTCTGTTTTTTGTTCTTCACTACGCTTTGTATATTATATCATAATCTGAGTGTAAAGTCAAATTCAGGGACTTTGGCTAGTTACTTTATTATCCCACTTGCCCTCTAGAGGATTTACCCCCCTTAATGACCAGGCCTTTTTTTCACACAAATAGAGCTTTCTTTTGGTGGTATTTGATTATGAACTTTAAGTTGTTAATGGAAAGTTATTTGAATTTAACCACCTCCCGCCCATCATATAGTCCAATGACAGGTGCAAGGTGGTTCTCTCGTTCTGGGAGGACGTCATATGACGTCCTCCCATTCTCACCACGCATGCGCGGCTCAGGGAGCGCGCAGCAGTGCGGCGATCGGCGGTGCGCTGTGTCCCTAGGACACAGCGGATCACCGATTTGCGGAAAGAGCCGAAGATGTCGGCTCGGTCATGTGGTCATCTGTGTCCAATCACAGCTGATCACATGTAAACAGGGAAAGGCCGGTTATCGGCTTTTCTCTCCTCACGAGCTGTCACGCTGACAGCTCGAGAGGAGAGCCAGTAATCGGCATTCCGCGGAGGGGACATGTACACTGATCATCAGGGCACTGATGATCAGTGTGGCCCCAGAAGTGCCACCTGTCAGTGTCCATCAGTGCCAGCTGTCAGTGCTGAACAGTGCCACATGCCAGTGCCCATCAGTGCCACATCAATGCCACATATCAGTGCCTACCAGTGCACATCAATGCCACATATCAGTGCTCATCTGAGCTGCCTTTCAGTGTCACCCATCAGTGCCAGTCAGTGCCACCTATCAGTGCTGCCAATCAGTGCCACCTATCAGTGCTGCCAATCAGTGCCAGTCAGTGCCGCCTATCAGTGCGCATCAGTGCTGCCTATCAGTGCCCGTCAGTGCCGACTAACAGTGCCCGTCAGTGCCGACTAACAGTGCCAGTCAGTGCCGCCTATCAGTGCCAGTCAGTGCCATATATGAGCGCTGCTTTTCAGTGCCCATCAGTGATGCCCGCCAATGCCCATCAGTGCCACCTACCAGTGCCTCCTCATCAGTGCACATCAGTGCCACCTATCAGTGCCCATCACTGCAGCCTCATTAGCGCACATCAGTGAAGGAGAAAAATCACTTATTTACAAAATTTTACAACAAAAACTAAGAAAAAACTTTTTTTTTTTAAATTTTCAGCGGTTTTTGGTTTGTTTAAGAAAAAATTAAAAAGCCAGAGGTGATTAAATACCACCAAGAGAAAGGTCTATCTGTCACAAAAAAATGATTAAAATTTCATATGGGTACAGTGTTGCATGACCGCGCAATTGTCATTCAAATTGTGACAGCGCTGAAAGCTGGAAATTGGCCTGGGCAGGAAGGCGGTATAAGTGCCCTGTAGGCAAGCGGTTAAGTTGGTCACTTTATTGTGTTCTCTGATCACGTTTTAGTGTGTGGTTTATGCTATGTATGAGGGGTTAGTTTATATTGACACACATTTTTGATGGAATATTAAGGCATGGGTCCTGAAGTTTATATCAGGACCGCTGGTCACTTATTAATTGAACACTTGGATTTAAAGAACATTGTGGCACTTTGTTTATTTATTTATATATTTATCGTTAATTATATTTAATGGGTTAATATTTATAGTCACATGTCTGGATTATTTATTAGAACATTTCTATGATTTGATGTTGGGATAGTACTATAGTAGTGCTGCACTACATGATTTGTTTAGTTTGGTTCACTGTATAAGGTACCAGTTTAGATTGTGAGCGGCTTTAATCTCTAGGTACTCCATATAGTGCAGGAGGAATTTGTATTATTTACCTTATTTGATCACCTGGTCGCTTTTTATTTTTAGCGCTATAAACAAAAAAAGTTTTGAGAAAAAAAAAAAATTGTTTTTGAAAAAAAAAACGATATTTTCTCATTTCTGTGATAAAAATATCCAAAAAAACTAAAATTTCGTCATAAATTTAGGCTAAAATGTATTCTACTCCGTGTTTTTTGGTTAAAAAAATCCCAAGAAGTGTATATTGATGGCTTTGTGTGAAAGTTATAGCATCTACAAACTATGGTACAGATAATGGAATTTACACAGCTTTTACTTTCTGACTACCCATCACATTTCTTGAGATGCTAAAATACCAGGATAGTACAAACACCCCCCCAAAATGACCCATTTTTGGGAAGCAGACACCCTAAGCTATCTACTGAGAGGCATATTGAGTCCATGGAAAATTTATTTTTTTCCACAAGTTTCTAGAAAATGACAAAAACTTTTTTTTTTCTTTTTACACAAAGTTGTCATTTAAATTATATATTTCTCGCACAAGCCATGAGTATATGTGGAATTACACCCCAAAATACATTCTGCTACTTCTACCGAGTATGGGGGTACCACTGGGGGGGATATGGGGGGGTGAGACTTTTTGGGAGCCTAGCCACATACAGGAGCCTGAAATCCAATGATCACTTTGAAAGCCTACCTATCACAGTTTCGAAGGCCCTGAAATGCCAGGATAGCACCAACCCCCCCCCCCCCCCCAAAAATTAGCCCTTTTTGGAAAGTAGACACCCCAAGGAATTTATAAAGAGGCATGGTGAGTATTTTTCAGATCTTAGTTTTTCACACAAGGTTTTAAAATATAAAAAAAAGACAAAAAATGGCAACAAATGAGATCTGCAAAATACTTACCATGCTTCATATCAAATTCCTTGGGGTGTTTACTTTCCAAAAAGTGGTCATTTGATGGGGGTTTGGTGCTATCCTGGCATTTCAGGGCCTCTGAAACTGTGATAGGTAGTCAGGAAGTGTAATGAGGAAATAAAGCCCTTTAAAAGCCTGAAGGTGCTTATTGGATTTTGGGGTCCTCTACTTGGCTAGACTACCAAAACGTCTCTCACATGTGGTACCCCCCATACTTGGGAGAAGTAGCAGAATGTATTTTGGGGAGTAATTCCACATATACTAATGGCATGTGTGAGCAATAAATCATTTAAGTGACAATTTTGTGTAAAAAAAAAACTTGTTTGTCATTTTCCAAAAACTTGTGGTAAAAAATTAAATTCTTCTATTGATTCAACATGCCTCTCAGCAAATAGTTTGGTGTGTCCACTTTCCAAAAAGGGGTCGTTTTTGGGGGGTGGGGACATTTTATGCCCAGCATTAGAAGTTTATGCCACATATCACTCACTCCTCTAACCACCTGAAGATCAAGCCTTTTCTGACACTTTGGCCCTGATTACTAATGTGCCTAGGCGCATTTCCGTGGGCTAATGTCTACTTTTCAATAGCGACCGTCTACTTTTAGACAGCAAAGACATTTACTAAAGAAAGCATCAACAAGTAGATGCGAAATCGAATTTACTAACTAGGCACAATCCAAGAATCAATAACACAAAAAACAGCGCAAAAATTAAATAAATAAAAATAATCACAAATAAATAAATGTCCGTGCAAAAATATATATATGATATTTCAAATATAAGTCCTTATTTTCCCAAAAGGATTTTCAAAACAATATTCCAAAATGTGCTTCCACCTAATCACCACGTGAAAAATAATATTGACCGCACTCACCAGATGGAGGTGAGTAATAAGCCTCATAGGATATAAGGGATCCTATAGCCCCTCAGGAGGAACTCAAATCGCCTTCTTCACCCTGCTTAGATACAGCAATCGACTCCACTCTACTTCTCCATGGAATCCTCAATAGTGTGCAAGGAAAGAAAGGCTACATAGTGTAATACTGCCACTCAATACCATATAAATCCATAGAATAAGGACACTCACATGTTTCAATAAAATAACAGGCCTTGTTTAATAGCCTCAAAGGCTTCAAAGGAACAAGTTTCCAAATTGTAAATATAGGGATCTCACGCTTTAAGGATCACTGTAGAGGATGACCAGCTTTCCACCTCAAAAATGGCTGCTTGAACCGCAAAAGTCGGCGTGCGTTCCAAATGCCGGAAGTGACGTAGGCCAAGAAGACGGCAGACCGGAAGTGCGTCAACGCGTTTCGCCCCACCCACAGGGCATTTTCAAGACACCACCTTCAGTATCTTTTATACCCCTTAGGGAGAGCTCTCATCCATCTCCTATGCAAATTAATAAAAACTACCTCCCACTACCACACCTGATCATTAAACCATTATAATTACCATACAAAGTACCCACCCTCTGATCTTACCTCATCCTCTATCCAATCCAATCAGTCTAAGAAAGAAGACGTGCTAGAAGCACATCTAACACAACAAAAAATCACTGCACACTGCAGAGACATTGAAATTTGCTTTCACAAATATCGGGACTTCACTTTAAACAATATCTTACATTTCAAAAAAAATTTTTAAATGTGTAAAAAAAAAAAATAGTTTTTTGAAGGAATTCATGACAGTCAAGAACTAGACGCTTTTCCAGCGTCTATGCACAGATATAAATGCGCATGTGTAGAACACATTTTAGCCGTTTTCTGTGGGCGCTTTCTTTTTAGACGCTGTTTAATAGTAAATCTCAGTGTGGAGTCCTCTGACAGACGGCACTTGATCGCGTCTACTGTGTTTAACAAACAGCACTATTTGTAGCTAGGCATATCTTTATGTATTCTAATTTGATTTCCTTAGTTCTATTGATTCTGTTTTTGTTTCTTATCCTTTATAATTATTTCTGTAATGGTTTTATATATTTCGAAGGTCTAGATAATATATATTTTGACAGCTGAACTTAAAAAGAAAGGTTTGCAATTACATTTTTTTTTTTTTTAAATGGCGTGGGGTCCCCCCTCCCATCCATAGCAAGCCCTTCGGGTCTGGTATGGATCTTAAGGGGTAACCCCACGCCAAAAAAAAAAAAAAAAATGGCGTGGGGTCCCCCCCAAATCCATACTAGACCCTTATCCGAGCATGCAGCCTGGCAGGTCAGGAAAGGGGGGGGGCGAGCGAGCGTCCCCCCCCTCCTGAACCATACCAGGCCACATGCCCTCAACATGGGGGCGTGCTTTGGGGCAGGCGGGCTCCCCCCCAAAGCACCTTGTCCCCATGTTGATGGGGACAAGGGCCTCTTCCCCACAACCCTGGCCGGTAGTTGTGGGGGTCTGCGGGCAGGGGGCTTATCAGAATCTGGAAGCCCCCTTTAGCAAGGGGGCCCCCAGATCCCACTCCCCCCCTACGTGAATAAGTATGGGGTACATGGTACCGCTACTCATTCACAAAAAAAAACAAGTGTAGTGGAAAAAAAGACAGGACACGGTCTTTGACAAGTCCTTTAATAAAAGAAAAATCCAAAAGAATGTCCCCCGAAGTAGATCCAACATCAATCGTGGTGCAAGCTACCGTCGACCCGAAAAAAGAAAAAAAAAAAGGTTCCATTCCCAACGATGGCATCCAGCCCTATGGTGTTGGCTGGGTTGACAGCTGTTAAATATGTAAGGGGCGGGGCCACCTGGGGACATCATCTGAGTAACCCCACCCCATGTGACATTCATGTGGGGTGGGATCACATGTGTGTTTATATCCCTAAAGGAAACAATGTTTACTTTTAGTTTATTAAAAGATACAAAGTTTTCTGTAACTTCGGGGAAAGTGATAGATAAGCTTGTGAAGAAAAAAAAAGGCTAGCATTTGCATTTAAAAATCAGCACCAACATACACTTTGTATTGCGAAAAAAATTATTAATAATTGTGTAAACCGAGGCATTATTTTCAATGGATTTTCATAGGTAAACCGAACATTAGGTTAACCGAGGCGTTCGTAAACTGAGGTACGCCTGTATTAGTATTGCAATCCTTTGTATTGGGATACATAGAACCAACATACATGTGAATTGGCAACATAGCACAACATTTGTGTCACATTTGAAATATC